CGGCTGCGCGCGGGAGTTGAGTCGGGCGTGTCCCCCTACAGGAGGGGCTCTGGGCGAGGAATACAAATAGCCAAAAAAATCGTCGCCTCTGACCATTTTGTGACTACTTTTGGATATTCCCCCTGCAGGGGGACACGCCCGACTAAACGCAAGAGTGAGGAGGCAACTCCAGGGGAGACCTTCTTGCTAACGATTAACTTACGTGCCGATCCATAGAAGCCCCTGAGGAATGACGTTGAAACCTGCACCGCAAAACGCCGCTCAGTGGAGGACGCGGTACTGCGCGGCGTTGTGCGGTGCTGCGCGGGGGTGTTGCGCCAGCGAGCTGCGGCTTATCACTTCCAAGACAAGAGGCTCCGATGGACCAATCACGCAAATTAAAAGCTACCAGGCCCGCTTCGGGGGCTACCAAGCGGGTTTGGCCAGAGTCAGTCAAGGATGCAGCCCGATCGAGCCAGAGTGAGCGGGATTCGTCGAAATTTGAATCGGGATGAGGCCGATTATCGACGACTGATATACCAGCGCCGATGCCGAATCCAACCTGACAGGAGTTGCAACCTGACAAGCGTGATCCTGGGCAAGACTGGACCTTTGCCTTTGCTGCGCGGCTCTTTAGGGGGCCGCGAGCAGGCCAAGCCCAAACGTGCAAGCTAGAGCTGGGGAGGTCCCCCGAGACGTCTGGCGCTTTCATTCGTTCGATGCGTGGGCTCCCGGACCTCTCGACCCCCAGGGGAACGAAGAATGACATTAATATCAAAATGCGGAGGTCCGCGTGGAGTTCTGGGATCCGCGCTGGACCCCACTGGCGGCGCCTCCAGCGCCGCCCCTGGCGCGCTCCGCGCGCCAGGGAGGGGGGTCCAGCGCCGGTCCGAGAAATCCGCGCGGACCTCCGGATCTTTATGTTGATGTCATTGTTGGTTTCCCTCCTGTGTTCGATGCGTGGGCTCCTGGACCTCTCGACCCCTTCCCTGGGGCCACGGTGCTCATCCCCGAGGTGGTCTCTGACGGTTCTGGGGGCCGAGGCCGGCCTCCCGATGCCAAAAATTTCGAAAACCTGGCCGCCTCGATTTTCTGTTGCGCCAGATGTCTGGGCCTGCGAGCCCGCACCAAGGGTCACACCAGCGAAAGGTCACTCGTGCATGGTCGACGGCAGTCCCCCGCATCGACCAGCCGCCAGCGGTCAGCAGCGCGGCAGTCGTCCACGTACGCGCGTCCAGACATCCAGACAGAAAAGCACCAATATATCCCACGTCTTGAAAAAACCATACACGAAACGCGTGTTCCGCCACGGCTGCATTCGGCTCGAAATTCTAGCCAGAACGCAGCTCTGGCTCCCTGAGGCCAGGCATCCAATGCTCTGAAAAAGTCCAGGTGAATCGTTCTCGCAGCCTGGTGGACACCCGGCCGTAGGGGCGGGGTCGAGAAGTCTGCTGGGGGCCCATGCATCGAACAAGTGAAATCGCCGGATGTCTTGGTTCCTCCCTCCCTTCCGGCCTCTAAAGGGCAGGGCAGTTATACCACGCCGGCCGGGCCGGTTCTGGCGCGCCTTGGCCCAAATCTTGCGGGCTCTTGGCCTGGTTGGGAGCCAATACACACCAGGATCTGGCTCCCGAGGTGGGCCTGAGCTGGCCTGATGGTAGTGTATATGGCAGGTTCGCGTCTTCCCGACTTCGGCGCTGGTTACTGACACTGCGTGGATCGTTCAGCCTTGGGCGATCGCAGCATCCCGGCGGGCCAAATCTTTCGATATCGACCGACTCTGGGCCGCTGGCGGCGTACAACCTTGAACGGCCGCGCTGGGGTTGCCGCCGCGTCGACACGATACGAACCTGCCGCACTTGCCTTTGTTGATCGTGCATATTGCCATTTTACTTCACATCTCCAGTGTACCCAACTCCCTTCTCTGATTGCGCATGACATGGTAGGGTCATTTGGAAGGTTCCAGATCCGCTATGGCACGTCGGCGGATTGAGATAAAACAGCGCAATGGAAAATTGTGGGTGTGAGGGATGGGATGGCAAATATGACGCGAGCGTACCTAGCTTGTCCCTCTCCTCCTCGTCTTTCTGCTTCTTTCCAACGTGTTTCCCCAAGAGTTTCCACAACGGCAGGGGGAACACATAATCCAATATACTGACCAGACTTTGGCCCATCGTTTGGTCGCAAGGAGCGTTTCAATAAAAAGGCAGAGGGCGGCGATGGTTCGCCGTAGGTGTCTTCGATAACTTCGGCTCAACGTTCAGCCGTATAGGCGGTTCCACAGGCATGGGTCGGCGGTGGTTCGCCGCAGGCATCTTTCACAGTGTGCGGCCTATTCTTAGCCATCACAAATCTCCCTTTAGAATTAACGAATGTATCTGCGAAGGCAGACGGGTCACGAAGGCAAACGGGCCACCATCACATGCCAATAGCGGCGGTTAGGTGCCAAGCAAATGTATACTCGTTTTGGACCAAATAAACAAAATACAAACAGACTATAAGCACAATAAACAAACTATATGTACAAACTGACGGGCACAACTGCAAATTACCGCCACGGAAAATCAACGGCACAAGTATCAATATCTTTACTGACTCGCCCCACGCGGAAGACTTCTGTCGAGCCAACAAAAACTCTACGCGGCTAAACAAAACAAGATATCAACCCATGCGCCAATGTGGAAGCCGAGCCTGGCTGCTGTGAACAAAAAACCCAGCTGGTCTGAGTCTGGGCTCGCCCCGGCGCCACACGCATTATTTTTCAAACTCTGTAGCAGCCACAAAGATTCGCGCGGGCAAAGCTCAAGGGATGGCGCTCTGTCGCGGTCTGGGATTGTGCGGACGCCGCAGTCACACCGATCCGCGGTGTCGAAGACCCAGGGAGGGCATTCTGGCACGACTGAGGACTGTCAAGATGCAACAGTCACGTTAATCCGCGGCGTTGAAGTCCCAGGAAAGCTGGCTTGCACGATTGAGGATTCTCAGACGATTGTCTCCTGATAGGCCACCTCCCGCAATGGAACCAGATTCCTGCTGGGACCTCTGAAGAGGCAAGTCAACGGGAGGATTCACGGCAACATCGTTGGTGTGTCTTGGGGCTCCCCTTGTCCCTTTCCTCTCCCATCCCTTTTGGGGATGGGAGAGGAAAGGGAGGGGGGGGAGGAGGAGGAGGAGGAGGAGGAGGAGGAGGAGGATGGGAGGAGGAGGAGGAGGAGGAGGAGGAGGAGGAGGAGGAGGAGGAGGAGGAGGAGGAGGAGGAGGAGGAGGAGGAGGAGAGGGAGGACGAGGAGGAGGAGGAGGAGGACGAGGGCTGTATGGCCCTCGCGCTCCCAGGTTGTGCACGAGCTCCACGGGTGGAGGGCGGCTCGACCTTAAACGGCGGCTCTCGCGTGAACAAAAAAGCGCATTCGCCTTGACAGTTTGCAGATGCCTCGCGGACGGAGGGCAAATGGTCTTCAGAACATGGTGTTCGCCCTAACGCCGCGCACGTTTGTCTTCAAAGTGTGCACCAGCTTCACGGATGGATGGCGGCTCTTTTTCAAAATGTGCCTCTCGCCTGAGCGCCACGTACATTCGGTCCAACAACTCCCAACAAGTTTAAAGGATTATATGGCTGAAGTCTCGGGAACGGCGTTCGGGCACCATTCAGGATTATCAGGGCACAACAGTCCCGTTGGCTCACGGTCCTGAAGACCCAGGGAGGGCGTTCTGGTGCGATTCTGAATTGTCAAGATGCAACAGTCACGTTGATCCGCGGCGTTGAAGTCTAAGGAAAGCTGGTTCACACGATTGAAGGGTCTCAGACGGTTGTCTTCTGATGGGCGACTTCACGCAATGAGGATACATTCTTGTAGGGGCCTATGAAACGGGAGCTGCGGGAGGGTTGTTTGCAACATCGTTGGTGCGTCTTGGGTTTACACTGGTCTTCCTCCTCCTCACATAATCATCATCATCATCATGATTAACATTATCATCAATGTTCTTATTAACATTGTTCCTCCACAAGACTTGAGGAACCCACGAAGTCGGTAAGGAAATCTAGTCAAACTGCTTCTGACGCGCATGCTGCACTGTCCATTTGCTTGGCTGTAACCACTACCTCCTGCACGTCCTGCTGATCTTCCTCCTCCTCCTCATCATCATCATCAGCATCACCATCATCATCATTATTATCATCATCATCATCATCATCATCATCATCATCATCATCATCATCATCATCATGATCATCATCATCATCATCATCATCATCATCATCATCATCATCAACATCAGCATCAGCATCAGCATCATCATCATCAGCAGCAGCAGCATCATCCCCACCCTCCTCCACCTCCGCCCTCTCTTCTTCCTCCTCCTCCTCCTCCACCTCCTCCTCCTCCTTCCTCCTTCCTCCTCCTTCCTCCTTTAGCTGTCCTCCTTCCTCATTCCACTTTCCTCCTTCTGCTCCTCCTGTTCCTCATCATCAGCATCAGCATCATCAGCAGCATCATCAGCATGATCAGCACCATCATCAGCATCATCAACATAATGATCATCGTCGTCGTCGTGGTCGTCGTCACCATCACCATCAGCATCATCCTGATCATCAGCAGCAGCATCACCATCAGCATCAGCATCAGCATCATCGTCAGCATCATCATCAGCATCATCGTCAGCATCAGCATCATCATCAGCAGCATCATCATCACCGTCGTCGTCGTCATCAGCATCAGCATCAGCATCATCCGCAGCATCAGCAGCGGCAGCATCACCATCATCATCAGCATCATCATCAGCATCATCATCGTCAGCATCGTCATCAGCATCATCGTCAGCATCATCATCAGCATCATCATCATCGTCGTCGTCATCAGCATCAGCATCATCATCAGCAACATCATCCTCAGCATCATCGTCATCATCGTCACCGGCATCATCATCATCATCATCAGCATCACCATCATCATCATCATCATCATCATCATCATCATCATCATCATCATCATCATCATCATAATCATAATCATAATCATAGTCATAATCAGCAGCAGCATGAGCATCAGCAACCGCATCAGCATCATCATCAGCAGCATCATCGTCATCATCATCATCGTCATCATCAGCATCGTCCATCATCATCATCATCGTCATCATCATCATCATCATCATCATCATCATCATCATCATCATCATCATCATCATCATCATCATCATCATCATCATCATCATCATCGTCAGCATCATCATCATCATCGTCATCATCATCATCCTATTCCTACCTCCACATTCCTGCTCCCCATCGTCATCTCCCTCCTGCACGGCGGCGCCTGAGCACGTCTGAAGAATCCGACGCGACCAAGTTTGGCCCCCCCTGGGGGCCGTTTACACGTAAACAGACGTGCCCCGCGCGGGCGCGCCAGGCGCAATTGGGTCCCCCCCCTCCGCACACGCAGCTTCACGGGTAAAGAATCTAACGCGCCCAAGTTGGGTCCCCCCCTGGGGGCCGTGGAGACGTGACAACACGTGCCCCGCGCGGACGCGCCAGGCGCATGTTGGATCCCCCCTGTGCACGTAGTTTCACGGATAGTGAATCCAGCGAGCCCAAGTTGGGTCCCCCCCTGGGGGCCGTGGAGACGTGACAACACGTGCCCCGCGCGCACGCGCCAGGCGCGTGATGGGTCCCCCCCCTCCGCGCACGCAGTTTCACGTGAAGCATCCGACGCACCCAAGTTGGGTCTCCCCCTGGGCGCACATGCAGAGAATCCGACGCGCCCAAGGCGAGTCCCCCCCTGGGGGCCGTGGACACGAGAGAACACGTGCCACGCGCGCACGTGCCAGGCGACCTAATGGCCCAGGACACGTGGAATGAGGTGAACCGCGCGCACGCGCCAGGCGCATGATGGGCCCCTCCGCGCCCAAATCGGGTCCCCTGCTGGGGGCCGTGGCCACGTGAAAGTGCTTGACCCGCGCACACGCGCCAAGCGCACCTTGGGTCCACGCCCCCTCCGCGCATTTATGGTCATAGGGGGGCGTGGGTCCGTGAAAATACACGCCCCGCGCGCACGCCCCAAGCGCATGGTGGGCCCCTCCCTCCGCCAACGCATGTCTACGTGTCGGGCCCAGGTCGGGTCCCTCACTGGGGACCGTGGACACGTGAAAATACGTGACCCGCGCGCACGCGCCAGGAGGCAATTGGGTCCCCCCCGCGCCCAAAATTGGGCCCCCCCCAGCATGGGAGCCGGGGACACGTGAAAACACGTGCCGCGAGCGCACGCGCCAGGCGCATGCTGCCCCCCCTCCCTCCGCGCATGTATTTTTATGGGGCCGTGGACACGTGAAAATACGTGCTTCACGCGCACGCGCCAGGCGCGCTTTGGGCCCCCCGCCGCGCACAAATTAGGCCTCCCCAATATGGAAGCCGTGGACACGTGATAACGCGTGCCCCGCGCGCAAGCGCCAAGCGGATGTTGGACCCCCCCCTTCGCGAACGCATTTTTACGAGGACCGTGGACACGTGAGAATACGTGCCCCGCGCGCATGCGCCAGGCGCATGTTGGGTCCCTCCTCCGCGCACGCATTTCTGATGTAAAGAATCCGGCAGGCTGATACGTGGGTCCCTCGCTGGGGCCGTGGCCACGTGAAAATACGGGACCCGCGCGCACGCGCCAGGCACAGCTCGGCGCCAGCCAGGATCCAGCCTCGGACCCCGACCCCCCCCCGCCCCCCCGCGGCCGCGCGCGCGCCTCACCCTGCATCGGAGGCATGCCACCAGCGGACCCCATCTGCGCGCGGGGTGGGGGGATGGGGCAGACAGAGAGCCGTGGGGCAGGGGGAGGACCCCTGACATCCTCTCGTTGTGAGGGGAACGACGTGCGGTGTTGGGCCGTTTGCGGATCCGGGAGACCACTGCCAGGCCCGAAGGCCGTCGACAGACTGCTCGGCGTGAGAAGCTCGTGCTGGGGGAGAGCGGGACAGCGGCAACGGGTGGGGCCAGCGAGGAGGAGGAGGAGGAGGAGGGGGAGGAGGAGGAGGAGGAGGAGAGGAGGAGGAGGAGGAGGAGGAGGAGGAGGAGGAGGGGAAGGAGGAGGAGGAGGAGGAGGAAGAGGAGGTTGGGGAGGAGCAGGAGGAGGAGGAGGAGGAAGAGAAGGAGGAGGCCCAGGCCTCTCGGCAACGTCGGATGTCTGGGACAGCGGGATGGCGCCGGAGGGCACAGCATCCGGTCCCACCAGCTGGGAAGGGGACACTCCTGGGGCTGGTCGCCTGCCTGGGAGCCCAGAGAGCATGGAAGCGAGGATCAGAGAGCATGGGAGCCCAGAGAGCCTGGGAGCCCAGAGAGTCATCATCGTCATCATCATCATCATCATCATCATCATCATCATCATCATCATCATCATCATCAGCATCATCAGCATCATCATCATCATCATCATCATCATCATCATCATCATCATCATCATCATCATCATCATCATCATCATCATCATCATCATCATCATCATCATCATCATCATCATCATCATCATCATCATCATCCTATTGTTATTGCTGGTGCGGCTACGAACGAACATAACAGAAACGAGCTCTAAGGAGACGCAAAATTGCTCCGACGAGTCCGAGTCCTCAGCGATGGTTGGTCGGCCCGCTCGCTTTGCGACGCGACGCCTCCAGGTGATGGGCACGGGTCGCCCATGCTTCAGCCAGCTCTTGAGAGAGAGAGAAAGAGAAGCCGTGCACGTCAGAGGTGCATTGGCATAAAAAAGTGAAATAAAACCGACCGGCGATACGAAGCCTCCGGCGTCGCCGGCTCCATGCACAAAGAAGGCTTACAAACTTCATCATGCACACCCCACTGCCAAAACTGCCCGCAGGTGGACGACCCAGGAGAGCAAACGCAGCAGGGAGGCAAAGGAGGGAACGACACCCGGGGTCCAGGACGAGCCCGGAGCCAGCTCTTGGGTCAGCCCAAACCCGGCGAAAAGCTCCAAACGACCCCACGAGCACACACCACCCACACTGGCTTGGGGCTCGCCGCCCCGGGCCTCCCGAGAGACGAGACTCGGCGCCCTGCCAGAAACCAAGCAAGCCAAGTAATGCCCAGTGGCTTCCGCAAAAGGGCCGATTCTCCAATCCGCGAATTGCGGGGCCCATCCAGGGGATTGGCCTCAGCCTTAGATCGGGCGTCCTCCTACAGGCAGATTTTGGACGAAAACTAGAAAAACAGTCAAAACATATTCAAAACATGCCCAAAAAATACTCCCAAAATCGTCTCCAGACCATTCTTTGACTATTTTTGAATGTTCCTCCTGTAGAGGGACACGCCCGACTTAACCTTAGCAGCCCTTTTCCACTGCCGCCTCATTGCCGGAGTCGGGTCGCGGCCGGGCTTTGTTAAGCTCTGTGCACCTTCCCAAGCGTATCCCCCACAGGACGTGCAGATAAGTTAGCCACTATGCTCCCCGCCAGCACAGGCTGACCATCAGCCTGATACACAGAGGCCATATTAATATAATGCCCCTGGAGCTGCACAAGCATCTCGAGCTCACGGTCCGCTTGGGGCGATTCGGCGGAAAACAACCACCGATCCACGCCGACCGACTTTGCAGAAGAACGCAAATTCAGCACGGCAGGAGGAGGCTCAGGGGGGAGAAGCATACGGAGGGGTCTGATCCGCATCCAGCCAACCCCTATCGGCCCTCTGGATTTCCTGCTGCGCCGCCCACCTGCCAGCCTCGACCGCCAGCAGGTGCGGACCCGCCAAATCGTTGGTAACAGCAGTCGCAGACAGGTGACGTCCCGCCCCCTGCTTCGCAAACGAATCGGCCAACTCGTTCGCTAGACGCTCCCAGGCCGTGGTGCGGCCTGCTTCTACGTCGGCTTGCGTGCAATGTGCTTTCGTCTCGTGTGCGCGCAGCATACCGTCATCGCCAAAAAACGTGCCACACGCGTTGCCGCAAATACGCATTCGAGCACTGCGACGAAACCGAAAAATTGGATCAAGCACTGGAGGGTAGAGACACAATCACCATAAACCTCTAACAGGCCGAAGTCACAGGAACTAAGCATGAATATCGCATGATCGTCAGCGTCGTGCGAAAATTGCTGCGGACAGATGTCCGCAGGGACCGCCCCATAAGCCGCACAGATCGTGCGACCTTTAACGGTCTGCCATCACCAGCGCCCAACCTACTCTCCTAAGTAGCAGAATCTCCGGATGGAATGCGCTGCCGTCCGAAAAAATGGCGCCCGTCATCCAACCGTCCGCGGGCCGGTTAACCCCGTGTATTCCAGCATGAGTCGACAGCAAAGGCTTGGGAGGCAAGTCCAGGGGATCAGGGACAATGCCACATGCAGACTCGGTCAAGTCCTGTCCTAAAGCATGCGCCGCTCGAGCCGTCCGCAAGAACAGACCCGAACAATTATGGTGCCTACGGTCGGCCACCCATGCGGCACCGGAACCTGCGATGACAAAGCGTGCCCCTCTCTTCACCAAATAGCCGGCATATTCTGGAGTTCGCCAGCTGGTGCTGGTGCGAGCGATGCTGCGCCCAGAAGTGTGCACGTGGCGCTCCGACCACCCCGGCGCATCAGGACGAGGAGGTACTCCGATCAGGACGAGGACAGGTCCCCGCAGTGCTTCACTCCGCAGGACCCACAAGCAGCCCTCGAAAAAAGGCGACAGTGTCGCAGATCGCAGCCCCCCAGAGACGGCGAGGTCCCGCTCAGGTCCCCGCGGCGCTTCATTCAGCAGGACCCACCAGCAGCCCTCGAAAGTGGCGACAATGTCACAGATCGCAGCCCCCCAGGGACGGCGAGGTCCCGCTCAAGTCCCCGCGGCGCCTCACTCCGCAGGACCCACCAGCAGCCCTCGAAAGTGGCGACAGTTTCGCAGATCGCAGCTAATTCTTATCCGCGGTGGGTACCCTCTCTGCTGGCCTCCCCAGCAGTCCTCGAAAGTGGCGACAGTTTCGCAGATCGCAGCTCCCCAGGGGTGGCGAGGTCTAATTCGGATCCGCGGTGGGTACCCTCTCTGCTTGCATCCCCAGCAGCCCTCGAAAGTGGCGACAGCGGGAGGCGGGAGGAGAAGGACGCGACCACAGCGCTCTATTCAAAACGAATACCCAACCAAGGAGGGTTGGGAATTTTCAAATTATCCTGTGCAATTGTGAAGGACTCAACCATGTGCAATTGTGAATACCGCAGTTGTGAGCCCCGCCTTCGGTGGAGCTCCCTGTGGGGCCACAAAACGCGTGAGGGGTGTGCCGAAACGGGTGCGGTGGCGCCATGTGAACCCTGCCAATGTGGCCTTCGGTGGAGCTCCCTGTGGGGCCACCAAACGTGTGAGGGGTGTGCCGAAATGGGTGCGGTGGCGCCATGCGAACCCTGCCAATGTGGCCTTCGGTGGAGCTCCCTGTGGGGCCACAAAACGTGTGAGGGGTGTGCTGACATGGGTGAGGTGGCACCCGGCGAACCCTGCCACCGAAGCCTTCGGTGGAGCTCCCTGTGGGGCCACGAAACGTGTGAGGGGAGTGCCGAAATGGCTGCGGTGGCGCCATGCGAACCCTGCCACTGGGGCCTTCGGTGGAGCTCCCTGTGGCGCCACGAGGCGTGTGAGGGGTGTGCCGACGTGGGTGCGGTGGCGCCATGCGAACCCTGCCACTGGGGCGTTCGGTGGAGCCCCGTATGGGGCCGCGAAACGTGTGAGGAGAGTGCCGAAATGGGTACGGTGGCGCTATGCGAACCGTGCCACGGGACCTCTGGTGGACCTGCCTATGGGGCCACGAAACGTGCGAGGGGTGTGCCGAAATGGCTGCGGTGGTGCCATGCGAACCCTGCCAATGTGGCCTTCGGTGGAGCTCCTGTGGCGCCACGAGGCGTGAGAGGGGTGTGCCGACGTGGGTGCGGTGGCGCCATGCGAACCCTGCCACTGGGGCCTTCGGTGGAGCTCCCTTGAGGCCACGAAACGCTGTACAGAGTATGCCGAAACGGAAACATGCGGAGGGCAGAGGCAATGAGGGGGAGGAGGGAGGAGGGGGAGGAGGAGGAGAGGAGAGGAGACGCGGGGCGCTGTCTCTTCAAAACGAGGACACAACACCACAGGATGGTTGGGACAAATCGTCCCCATATGATGTGTTGACTATTTGTGAATTTTCCTCCTTTAGAAGGACGTGCCCGACTTGAATCAACTCACGCAGCTGTCTTCCAGGCGCCTCCCTGTGCCAGGGAGGCGCTGGTGCATCGAGGCGTGCGGCCAGCGCCAGTCGAAAGCAGATGCACGCAGAAGAGTTGGAAACCTCCCCTGTCCCTACCTCCACCTTTCGTCCGACCCGACCGTATCCCCCCACCCCGCGCGCTTTTCTCGGAAGGGGGTAGCCAGAGAGGCCGCGTCGGCAAGGCGCAGTCTTCCCGGCAGCCTCCGTGAGCGGCAGCCGACCTGTTGTCGCCGCCCGCCCGTGCCCTCGCACTCTCTGCTGCACAAGTACGGCGGGCCCAGCCAGGGCACTGCAGGGGATAACCAGAATGGACATCACCCCCACTCAGAAAAACTTGTGTCGGAGGGGGGGCATAAGCTTGGGAGGAGGAGGAGGAGGAGGCGGAGGAGAAGGAGGGAGCGTGACCACTTCTTCTTGTCGCGGCGACTTGGGTCCAAGACGCGGTCGGGGCAGCCGAGGGACGCTTCTGGGCCAAACTGCGCCCCGCAGGAGCAAGCAGAGGCGCGCGTCGGGGGAGAGGTAATCGCGAGCTGCGGGGCACGCCCAGACCGAAGCACCTGCGCGCGCGTGCGTGCTGCAGAGCACAGGCTCACACGGGCAGCACGCGCGGGAGTGGTGAGGCGGCCAACGGGCCAGTAAACGGTGGAGTGGTGGGGCGGAGTGCAAGCAGGTTACAGCAACTACAGGAAACGCCGAGGGCCTCGAACCCCTCGGGGGCGTCCAAGAGGGGGGGGGCGTCCAAGAGGGGGGGGGCGCAGATCATGGCCAGCAGCACGTGCGCGGCCCAGCGGTGGGCCAGGGAACGCATTAGGATAAGAAGAGGCGCCATGAAACCTGGGGAGATATCATGCCACCCACCATGATGTCCACATCCTCGTAGTCCTCACCCCCCTCGTGGCCGCCCCGAGCAAGACATGCCAAGGGCCTCGAACTCTTTCGCAGAACTCCCGCTGGTGAGAACGACCCGGGACCGGATTCAAAGGGCGCGGGCCCGCACAACGTGCGACAGCAACGCCCTCTAAGGCCGAGAATCATGCGATTCGCTACGTAATCATCTTTCCAAGGTCGGGTCTGTGATGGGCATGTTTTCCACCACCACCACCATAAGTTGGAGGGCGAGGGGGTCCCCTTCCTCCTCCTCCTCCTCCTCCTCCTCCTCCTCCTCCTCCTCCTCTTCTTCGTCCTCCTCGTCTTCCACCTCCTTCCCCCCTCCAACTTATGGTGGTGGTGGTGGAAAACAGGCCCATCAGTCCAATCTCCGAGCTGAGGGTGAGATTGTGAATCCGAACAGACGGCGCCCGATAACCCAGAATCGGGTTGGGAAATCGGATCGGCAACCGAAATGCACCTGACAGATGGAAATCGGAAAGCAGGCAGGAAATCATCGAAATCAGCATCCGAAGTCCCGAATCGAGGCCTCCACAAAAAATCCAGACCGAAGTTGGAATTCGGAGTCGAATCGAAATCGAAATCCCCGAAAGCGAAACGATTCGAACCGACAGAGTCGGCATGGTTCTTGCCAGCGCGATGTGTATCGCCTCCAAGGTAGGGCTGGCTGCTACAGCTTTCAGTCCGCGATTCCCCTTCCCATGGCTTCTTCCTGCTTGATGATGCCTTTCGTCTTCAATCGAATCAAGTTTCAGGTCCGATAAGGGGCTACTGTGTTCACGAGCTGGTGCGACAACTGATGCATTCAGTGCACTCTAAAATCATGTGAGCTACTCGCTGAGCTTGTCCACAGCCGCGAGGCAACTCGCACGACCGTCAAACGGCTGATCCAGGGCATCGACCTCTCTAGCAAAACTCCCTGAAAACATCTGCTTAACGCATATGATGCGAACATTCCGAGCCATCGCGGACTCGGAGGAGGACGGAGGTGGGTGGGCCGATGACGAATAGAAAAAGTATATACTGACATGAATTTGCTTCGCAGCTCCAGCCCATACATATGTGCTTCTGAGTCTCTGTCACGCCCCTCCTCGGCTCTGTGTCTCCCCGTCCGCTGACTGCCCTGATTCCCAGTCCTCTTCCTCCTCCTCCTCCTCCTCCTCCTCCTCATCCTCCTTCTTCTCCTCCTCCTCCTCTTCCACCTACTCCTCCTTGTCCTCTTCATCGTCATCGTCATTATCATCAGCACCAAAACCACCACCATCATCATCATCATCATCATCATCATCATCATCATCATCATCATCAGCAGCATCAGCATCATCAGCATCAGCATCATCATCATCATCATCATCATCATCATCATCATCATCAGCATCATCGTCATCATCATCATCATCATCATCATCATCATCATCATCATCATCATCATCATCATCATCATCATCATCATCGTCATCATCGTCGTCATCGTCATCAGCATCAGCATCTTCATCATCAGCATCATCAGCAGCGGCATCAGAAGCATCAGCATCACCACCATCATCACTACCACCACCACCACAACCACCATCATCATCGTCAGCATCATCAGCATCATCAGCATCATCATCATCACCATCATCATTTTACTCATCAGTAACATCACCATCATCAGAAAATGCATCGTCATCATCGACGTCATCATCAACATCAGCACCAGCATCGTCACCATCAGCAAAATCATCGCCATCATCATCAGCATCATCATCATCACCATCACCATCATCATCATCATCATCATCAGATCAGCATCATCAGCATCATCATCATCATCACCATCATCATCGACATCGTCATCGTCATCGTCATCGCCATCATCGTGGACATCATCGTCATCATTGTCATTGTAATCATCCTCGTCATCCCCGTCATCATCACCACCACTCATCAACATCAGCAGTATCAGAATCATCGTCGTCGTCATCATCATCATCATCATCATCATCATCATCATCATCATCTCCATCTTCATCATCACCGTCATCATCGGAATCAGCACCAGCATTATCGTCACCATCAGCATCAGCATCATCATCAGCAGCAGCATCACATCATCGTCATCATCGGAATCGTCATCGTCGTCATCATAGACATCACCGCCATCGTAAGCATCGTCATCCCCTATCATCATCATCACCACCATCACCAATACCACCATCATCATCATCATCAGCATCATCATCATCATCATCATCATCATCATCATCATCATCATCATCATCTCCATCTTCATCATCACCGTCATCATCGGAATCAGCACCAGCATTATCGTCACCATCAGCATCAGCATCATCATCAGCAGCAGCATCACATCATCGTCATCATCGGAATCGTCATCGTCGTCATCATAGACATCACCGCCATCGTAAGCATCGTCATCCCCTATCATCATCATCACCACCATCACCAATACCACCATCATCATCATCAGCATCATCATCATCATCATCATCGTCGTCGTCAGCATCATCGCTAGCATCAGCATCAGCATCAGCATCATCATCGTCAGCATCAGCACCATCAGCACCATCAGGCCTCAGGATCTGCACCATCACCTTCAGCATCAACAGCATCATCATCGTCGTCATCTTCATCAGCATCAGCATCAGCATCAGCATCGTCATGAGCATCATCGCAAGCATCATCAGCAGCGGCATCATCATTGCCACCGCTATCATCAGAAGCAGCAGCATCATCATGATCATCGTCATCACCACCACCAACATCACCCCAGGCCCCCAACCACCCTACCCGCCCACCCATCCACCCAACCCTACCCGCCCACCCGGCCACCCCCACCAAAAGTGTTCCCCACTCCGACGTCTCCTCTTCCTCCTCTTCCTCCTCCGCCTCTTCCTCCTGGTTTTCATCCTCCACACTCTTTCTCTGTCCCTCTCTCTATCGCTCTTTCTCTCTCTCTCTCTCTTTCTCTCTCTCTCTCTCCTTCTCTCTCTCTCTCTCTCTCTCTCTTTCTCTCCCTCTCCTTTCTTTTTTGTTCGTTTTCTCTCTCTCTCTCTCTCTCTCTTTCTTTCTTTTTCTCTCTCTCTCTCTCTCTCTCTCTCTCTCTCTCTCTCTCTCCGTCTCTCTCTCCGTCTCTCTATCCCTATCCCTGAATAGTGACCTGATGTACGATTTGGAGTGTTTTCGGGTCCCGTCAAGCTCTCTGCATTGAGCTCTGCAAATGTTCTTTCCAGGGGCCCACAGACCGCAGTTCCAGGCGCTCACAGACGCTCACAGACACTCCTGGGCGCTCTTGGGCGCTTTCGAGGGATTCCCGGCGTGACTTTTCGAGAGATCAAAAACACGTTGTTCGGGAAACACATGTCCAACTGTATTAATTACATATGGCCCCGGAGACCGTCCTGGAACCCTCTAGGGCGTTTTGTGGGCCGGCTTGGAGGCCCTGGAGGGCGGCCTGAGAAGCCAAATTCGTCAAAAATCTGTTTGGTTGTTGTGCGGTTTTCGCAATACTGTCAGTTCGGCTTTCAGCACGTCCACGACGGCCCAAGAACCCAATCCACAGACCGAAATCCGTACGTTGTACCCATGCGGGCCCGGCATGTAGCACTCACGGGATACAACTAGCGGCTACTCCTGCATTTTGCGCCCCGCTCCGGTGTCCCTCGCGCGCCCCAGCGCGACCGTCAGCCACCCGCCCGCCACGGCGAGGCGTTGTGACGGGGGCCCAGTGTGGTCGAGGCGGCGTAGCACCGCCGACACCTTGACGAAGCGGATCCACGCCACCACGCGCAGATATTTTGCGAACCCCTCGTCCATGACCAGCCGCCCCAGGACCCCAATGAACGCGATGTGAAACTGCGACGCCCTCGTCGTCGGGCCTTCGCCAGCACCGAGGAGCACCTCCACGTTTTTGACGACCTGTTGGGTCGCGGGCCGAACGAAAATTCTGTCGTCCAAGTCCACTCTCACCACGCGTTCCGCCCACACCATAGCGCGCATGTTTGGGCACCGTGTGCCCGCACGGCTCGCCAACATTGGGGCGCACGCAATTAATGAAATGCACGCTCGTCTCTGGCCACGAAACACCGCGCGCGCAAAAGCCACGTACGCATCGTCTCCATGGCCTCCGCGTACGACCTCACCGTGTTGATGCGCGTGCGGCCCACGATGCCGTCCTGCGTTCGCTCTGGGTCCCCGTTGCACTGCGAAGTCTCCAGCGAAGGCGCCCCCATTTCCTCGAGCAACATGATCAGGCGTGGCTTCTATATATAGAGGGCCCACTATCGCGCTTCCAACCCGCGACGGCCCACCTCCGCTGCAACGCGGCACCTCCGCGCGATGCGGGTTCCCGTCATCGCGCGGGCCCCTGGCGGTGGCGGCAGGGTCTCGGGCACTCCCCGGCTGGCCGCCGCCACGATGTTCGCCACGGCGTCCTACAGCACGGCCCGTTCAAGGCTGCAGTGGAACGCCGTCAACCGTTTCTGCGTTGGTTCCTCGGCCACCGCCTGGTCCACGAACTCCTTCAGCGGCACTCGCGCCTCCTCCACGCTGAAGTCCGCGGCCGCCGCTACCTGCCAAGGCGTTGGAAACATTGTACTCATGAAGCACCCTGCTGGCCCGCCGCCGCGCAACATCGACGGCGCACGGCCCAAGGGCCCGCATCTGCGCCCAACCGTTAAGCAAAATTTGCCGACCGCCTGAGCCGAAATGACCACAAACGTCGGGCTGAGAAGAAGCATGCACTTTCGCGTTGGCACAATGGGGCTTGTCGTTTTCAATACGGGACTTTCCCATTACCGCTGCGCACAGTCATCCTACAACCTTGCAACAGCTACGAGGATGGACGCTGTTCGTTGTCGACTTGTGGCGATTAGATGGCCCCTAGGAACCCAAATTACAATAGCCACAACTCTACGGACGGAGGGCGGCTCCTGTTGAAACGGGGGCTCTCGATTGAGACTTCTCCAACTCTGATGACCAAAACTTGGAAACGTGCCACACTTACACGAATGGAGGGCAGATTTGTTTCAGAGCGGCGCTAGCGCTGGGCACGATTGAGGCTTCCGCAAGTCCGACGACCAGACCCTGGAAGCGTGACACACCTCCACGGATGGAGGGCAGGCCTTGTCCAGAGCGGCGCTGTCCCTGGGCGCGCGCCCTTGAAATCTGACGCCCAACCTCCTCGAGTCCAAAATGACCTCCAAAATGGTTCAAGATAGCCTAACTGTTTGATTATGCGCGTCTTTTCCTGTCTCCCCCCGCCAGCTCTCATGGGCATAGTTTCTGCATGGGCTGCTGGGGATATTTTTTGGGTTCGCGGACGCGCGAAGCGAGTCGAACGCCGAGCGTGTTAGGGCGGGCCACGCGCGTAGCGAACTCAAAAGCAGTGCAAGCGGCAGCGCGCGGAAGAGTGCAGCAGTACCAACCAGCCGGCGGTCAGCTGCCGAAGAGCGTGCCGACGGCGAAGAGCACGCGAGCACGGCCGCAACCTGTCGAACAAGAAACATTTGAAGCGGCCCGAGAGAATGTAGAGGACGACGAACCAAGGACAGAGGAGGCAAAAAAAGGTGGGGTTGGTGGGGATATTTTTTGATTCGCGGCCCGCAAGGAAAACTCCACCGGTAAGAACGAGGCTGGGACACAGCGCACGGGAAGGCAGATAATTAACGGCGCAGCACAAGTGCCGGCCAAGAAGCAGCTGAGCATGTGCCAGCAGCAGAAAATTAGCAACGCTGAACATGTGCCAGCGAGGAATGCAAATAGGAAAACCAGCCGCTGAGCGTGTGCCAGCGAGGGGGGGGAGGGGCTGGTGGGGATACGCGAAGCGTCAAGAGTTTGACGTCCTACCTCCTCGGGCGTGTTCTGGCTGGCGGGATGGAGGGCGGACCCGTCACACAGAGCACGGGGCCTCGCCCGAGCGGGGGCAGGCCCACGGAGCGCGCCCGCCACTCACGGGGGGGGCCGGCCCCCGCAGCGGAACGGGGCACCGGCAGGGGCTAACCAATCGGGGGCGCGCAAACATGGACTAGCGATCCATGGATTTGGTGCGCGGTCGTCGAATCCATGGATCGGGGAAGGGGCCCTTCCCAAAATGCGGCCGGTGCCGCCTCGCTGGGCGGCGGAAATCTGCGATTCCCCATGGAAGCGGGACCCGTCGCTAATCCACGCCCCCCTTGATCCACGCGTGCGATCGAGGGGGGGGGCTTCTCAGGAGGCTGCCTGTAGGAAGGCGCAGGACATACATCTGCAGAGAAGGCCCGCGCCTTCTAAGAAGCAGGGGTGCTTCTAAGAATCCTACCCCCCTCTCCCATATTCCACTCCGCGCGTGGCTGAGTGAAGGGGGCGGGGGGGGAAGCGGACGCCGAACGATCCGCTGCCCCTCACGGGGGCTATAATTGCACCCATCGACGCGCCGTGGCAGCCCCAACGCAGCGGCAGTGCACTGAAGTGGCCGTGGGTGCCTTCATGGGTTGACTCTTGTCCTCCACCTCCTTATCCTGATGCTCCTCACTCCCGTGGACCAAGACCTGAGTTCGGGAGCTGCTGCGGTGAAGGCTCTGAGGAACGCCTCCTGTTCACCCGAGGTGTTCCCGCATCCAGGCGATGTCCATCCCAGACTGGCGTCTGCGGGCACTGCTGCTCGATCTTGGGGTGATGAGTAACGTCGCATCTCTGGGTTCGAAGGGGGGGTGTTTACAGATGGTAGCTGGTCACGTCATGTCGTCATGGAGTTGGACAGAGCGAGCTAGGGGGGTGCTCAGATCGATAGCCTTGGCACCGTCGTAGGTAAGATCGTCGGTTCAGCCCCAGCCCCGTACAATGCCACTCCACACGCTGGAGAGTTTCACGCGCCTGTCCCTTCTCGCCTGTCCGCCCGCCTACTTCGTCCCGCCAGCCCTGGCCTCCCGCCTGCGCGTTTGCCTTCGTCTGCTTGCTGCTCGTTCCCGTTCTCTCTCCGTCGCCGGGAAACACAAACTGCCGGGAGCCCGCGGCGCCGGACAGGACAAGGCGCCTCCGACACATTCTGCCCAGGCGCTCGGGATCGGGAATGTAAGAGCTGCTGAGGGTTGCCTGCTCCTCAGACTGCGCGAGTGTCGTCAAGCAGTGTGGGAACCCACTATAGGCCCTATGCGGGAATCCTTTCAATTATTTTGCCAGGGTGTCCATCAGAGCCTCTAGGTTGTCAAAGTTAGGGCCGACACGGACCTCGAGGAAGTGGGCATTTCGCCTCACGAAAGCTGGCTCAGGCTTGGAAGTGATCATGCGGATCGAGCTGCCAAGGCAGGGGCAGCGATGCATCCGACAAGGAGCGAGGTTGAAGAGGCGGCCTTGCAAAGAGGAGTCAGGGTTTAAAAACCTGTGTGCAAGGTGACTACTGGTCTCCGTCCGCCTTGGCCCAAACTCGACTTGGGTGGTGCGGAATTGGTTTGGGTTTGGGGGCCAGGCCGTGAAAATGTTTCCGTCGCCAGAGCCATCGCCACTCACCATAGCGAGCATGTGTCTGTACAAACCGCGAGGGAAGTTCAATGAGCGCTCTGCCACAACATGTTCAGCCAGAAAGCCATATCAGAAGCTTGCGACACCCACTGCGACAGTGCATCACCTGTCAGTTTAGGCGAGCGTGCTCCAGTCGACGATGGCGTGAGGGTGGATCTGGGCGAGTGTCGGATGGGCTGGAAGCTTATGCCTCACAGCTAATCACCAGTGTCGGCCTCTTCACCAGCTTTCCTGTTTTGCTCCAGCCTGCAGGCGCACTGCCAGCCTGGATCCCAGATAGCTGCTGCAAGAGTGTCAGCTGCCGCTTTCCCGCAGAAGACCCGAAAAAACCTGGAAGTGGGCTCCAGAGGGTTGTTTCCTGGATGCGCAGGCCTGCTCGACTTCCTTCCTTCCTATCTTCTGCGTCGTTCTCCTCCGTCTCCCCCCACCCCTTGCCTTATG